GAGGTCATAGCAAAAGCGAATGGGCGTCGCTTAGTGGAGCAAAGCTTGGCATATGATATCACAATGTCTAGTTTGAGAATGGAGGTGGAGGCTGTCACGCCTACATTCCGCTGCATTCAGTATCAGTTGTACAATTAAGTCATAGTTGTAACTGACTCACAGAGTATGTTGAGAAAGGTGGAGACAGGCATGCTTTGTGCAGAGTGGCAAGAATCGTTTGAGAAGCCGCAGGAAGTTACAGCCCTTTAGATACTTTCGCTAGGGCACGGTGATGTGTTGGGATACGAGCAGGCAGACAGACGGGCCGGTTCTGCACCAGTTGGTAGTGAACTGGCAGTCAAGATCATCCTCTCGATGTTAACCCTTTGTATAACACCCCTTCCCCCTCCTCCTTCCCGCATGCCATTCGCCACTCAGAATCTTGCACTAATCCCTAAATCCAGTGTTTTATGAAAAACCCAGCTTAGCTGAACAAAAACCCAAGCAATACTCAGACAAAGAACAAAAATAAAAAATAAAAAACCCAGATTGTTAAAATTTACAAAATCTTTATTTACGAAACGAAACATTTACCACTTTTATATAAGGATATATTAAAAAAAAAAAAACCCAGATTTACCCCAGACGTCAACAACAACAACAACAACAAACCCAGATCTGGAGGGGGGGGGGGGGCCTAGCATTGGGAGCCATGCCTAAATCTCACCAGAATGCAATCGCATCGTTTCAGTCGACTATACATAATTGAAACTTCCACATCACGTTTCACGCCACCAGGATCTCATTGGGGATCTTTGCATCTGACTGCCGTCCTTAGGATCTCATCTGCTCCGTTAGCGCTGATGGCGGGACTTTTGCCGCCTTTTCCTGGTGCAGTTACTCTCTGCTACAAAAGTGTTACCCGTGTCCTTTCTTTAGCGCGTGAAAAGAGATCAATTCAGTTTACAGACCTGCAGGGCTAGCTTCTTCTTTGACATCTTCAGTCTGGGCTAACAATACTGGCCCCCCCCCCCCCCCCCGATCTTTTTTTTTTTATATTATTTTTTAAAATATATATATGACGCCTTGAGTTCAAATTATGAAATCTGTTTTTTTTTTTTTTTTTAATATATATCCTGAAATAAAAGTGGGTGAATGTTTCGTTTCGTAACTATAAAATTTCAACTTGTAGGACGTTTCCAGTTAGTCGGCTCCAACGACAAGCTCGTTGGGGAGGCAGTGGGTCTATTCTTGTATTTCCCACAATGGGGAACCCGAACCCACACGGAGAGAGAAAAACAGATCACAGCATGGGTGGGCAAACACAACCCCCCCCCCCCCCACCCACCCTCTCCGACCCAGTGGAGTAATGTAAACCCTGGAGCATACACGAGTAAATGCGCACCCAGCCATGATTTTATATTATTTCTCCCCGTGTGGGTTCCGGGGGCCCCATTGTAGGGAGGGGGGACACGAATAAAGCGACTGCCTCCCACCCCCAGCAAGCATGACGTAGGAGTCGACTAATTGGGAGCTTCCTTTGAAGTCGGAGTACATCTGCCTGAGAGGCAATGAACCAGCATTCTGCATACAAATTAGTTAGACCTGTGAAACGGAACCGGACTAGAGTCCAGAAGAAGACGAGCAACTAGAAATTTCCACTGGAGTTTACAGCTGGTGGACGCGAAAGGGAAGAAGATAATGAAATTTCATTTTGTATAAGTAAACGTTTTCCGCTTTTGATTCTTGCTTGTCCTTTTTAATGAGTCTTGGAGAACACTGATCTGCTGGATCATAGATTCCAACCGTGTTAGGTTTATCGCCCTATGTTTTATACTTCACAATGTTCCTATGTTCACATAGAGTTCCGTGAATTGGCTGTGGTTTTATGTCACGTTTCGTTACGTTGGTGCTGGATTTATTTAGAGTTTCATAACCTTAACTGTGAGTCTACTTAGATTTATGTGGCACTAACTCTAGGTTTACCAGGAGCTCTCAATCGTTGAGTCTTGAGTTATTTAGAGTTCGGTGAGATTGGCTCTAGCTTAGAGTTCAGTGACGTTGGTTCTGGTTTTATTTAGAGTTCTGTTACATTAACTTTGTGTGGTGTTATCTTTGTCCTCATAGTGTTCTTATGTTTCTTGGATTTACATGTAGGTCTCTGATGGTTGTTCTGTGATGTTAAGTTTACCTAGTTTCATAACATTGACGGTTGATTTCCGATCAGCTCTATTTTGTTATGACTGAGTTAATCTGTTGTATCAAAAAGCATGGCTCTGGATTGCCTACCTTGTTGTGCCCGTGTATCACATAACGAGTAGACATTAGTTTAGTCCGCCGGAGCTGATCTTGTTATTACCGCCTGTTCTTTATGTTCCCCCAGGTCCCAGCAGCGCTGAGCCGGAGCAGAAGATTGACTACGACTTCGCCCAGCAGGAGTTGATGGAGAACGAGCTGCTGAACGATCCCATCCAGGAGGCCATCGGTGCAATAGAGAAGCAGCACGAAGAGGACAAACAGGGTGAGTTGTTTACCCCCCCCCCCCCCCACCTACAAAGCATCGTCATTGTCATCATCATCATGTTCATCACCTAGTGTCTTACCGACTTGTATAGACTGGTATAACGCGTATAAGGTCACAACATCCAGTATGATAATGGAAGCGGAGGCTGTACAGGGTTGCCAGATGAAAAACTTTATTTTATGTCAAACCATTACCCAAAATATGCCAGAAAATGCCAAATAAAGTTTAACATTGTACTCGCTTCACATCAAAAGCTATAGATTGAATTCTTCACTGTCATCCTCACTGGAACAAGTGGAAGACACGGCGTAAACTTTTTCGGATTTAAAATCTGTAAGCATTTTCTCAGATGCGATGAAGTCTTTGCAACTTATCTATAAAGATGGCATATTTCTTGTTCCGAAAATCACCAATAAGGTCATCCTTAAGTGCAGGCGATATATTTTTTTAAATTATGCATGAACGTTTAGTTGTATGTAACTGTATGTGCTCCAATGTACTCCCCCGACCGTGCGCTCTTATCATTTCACTTGGATGATCAGTTGTGCGTATTGCACAATTGCAGGTCATGCCTACAACAAGTTGAAACTCTGCTTCCTTTAACTTTATCGTTACTTTGCCTAGGAGTCATTGTTGTAATAAGCGTTTTGTTGCTTTTAGTAAATCTGCGTGTTCCTAACGGAGGAACTATGAAGCAAATGTGAGCACATCTTGATTTTAAAAAAAAAGCTAGGAATAACCCAAATATGCCAGTTCATTATCTTATGCCAGTTCAATTTCAAATATGCCAAATTTGTAGAATCTGGCATAAAAAATGCCAATATGGCAACCCTGGGCTGTAACGACAGCTTTTCGATGGCTTAAGAGCAGCGTACCCCGGTATTTTATTGTAGCGGACTAATTGATATTGGTGTCCTAGGCGTAGAGTGGCTTGGATCACTTGATAAGACTTCAAGCAGGAGCATATCGTGGGTTCGATTTGATCTGGGCTTTAGGTGGATCTAGCTTTAACTGGTTACTAGGAAATGTCGCTGGATTCAAAGGCGGCTGGCGTGATGTTGGCCACGTGACTGATTGGGTGCATTGTGGCCTATACAATATGGGTCATCGCGAATGCCGGAAGTGCTACAGAGTTATTTCTCTTCGTCTGTGTTAGCCGATCAGAAGGCGGTTAGCGCCTTGTTTCGTTTACAGCTAGGCTGCGATATCAGCGCATCTTGGTCAACACATCCGATTTCAGTACAACCTCATTTAGTTTTCTTTTACGGTACGCTTAACTCTTTCCGTCCTAAACAACGCCTGGTGCGTGTGTGGCTGTATTCCTTGATTTCCTGCCACATCATTATGTGCTCTCCTAATTTTAAACTTAGCAGGACATACTTTAAAAAATCTGGCTATCCCAATGGTAATTACCACTTATCACAATCGATGTCGCTACACATTGGGCATTTCCATGCATGCTTAGTCCTCCGATGCTGCAGCCACTGCAAGGAACTTCTACTATTTGTTCCCATGACAAGTTGCTATTATTGTCTCCTATCTCTGCCTCGAAGATGGTATAGACATGCTGTACCATGCTTTACTCCCATGTCACGCAATCACGTTAGTGTAACAGATTCATTATTATCCACTAGCCCCGTCCGTACAGCGTTGATAATATCTGCTTTCTCCGTGCTTCTTCCCACATGCGTTGGTGCATTGCTTGCCAGTTGGTCCTCTCGCTTCATTACCCTTTACGCCAGCATACTGTGTATAGTGTAGCTATGGAAGTAATACTTTCATAATTTCTCGCCGAGGTTATCTCTGTCCATTGGCATCTCACCAGAAGCCTGTAGGTACCAAAAGAGGTAAGGAGTAGTCAGTCAGTGTTTTTGGTCTCCATTTGTTAACAACTTGATCCATGAGAAAATGTGCAAAAAATAGGACTCTTGGTGAAGACTCACCCAAACACGCCAACACAAGCAACCGCTCGCACATCCTGACGGATAAATTCAAATGACATCTTCAAACGACAGGTCAACAGTCCGACCTTGGAAGTCCGGGCGGTCACATCGATCTCCTCTTCTACAGTCTGAGCAAGGCAATGTCCCTCTTTAATGATTCGGCCTGGAGAATCCCTCCTTAAAGTTTACCGGCTTCCTGCCGAGCGCAGTGTACCAGCTTTCCGCTGAGGTTCCTAGTGGGGTCCCGGGGTAGAACGTCCTCAAGGATCCACTGAGACACAACCACACATCTGTCTCTTCCAGACTTCATACAACGAATGCGCAGACAACAATCCCTTAACGACATTACGTATTGTTTTGACGTCCTATTTGCTCACTCAGTACTGGTGCGTTCTAGTGCATATCCGCACTCGACAAGCCTGTAGGGGTACCAAAAGAGGTAAGGAGTAGTTCTTTTTGTCTCCACCAAAGACTGTTCTGTGTCTGTCTGTTTCTCTCTCTCTCTCTCTCTCTCTCTCTCTCTCTCTCTCTCTCTCTCTCTCTCTCTCTCTCTCTCTCTCTGTGTGTGTGTGTGTGTGTGTGTGTGTATGGGAAGATAGCGCTGAAATCTGCTTCTTTTGCTGTTGTTGTCCACCCGGCTGTATGCTCCTGCAAAAAGTCCTGTTTGTTCATCCGTTTTGACTTCGGCTTCGTACCAGGGCCTCAGTCTTGCATGTACATATGTTATACTGTCTTTTGTGTGTGCACTTATTTGTGCCTTGTCACTCGGGCAGATGCACTCCGACTTCGAAGAAAATCACCAATTAGTCGACTCTTACGACATGCTTGTTGAGGATGCAGCGGGTCTGTTCTTGTTTTCTACACATTGGGTCCCCGGAACCCACTCTGAGAAAGCTACAATTAATAGATTTATATCACTGTTAATAGTACTCTTTGCTTATCGAATCAGGATACCAATTCACGGATGACAAACAACTCTAGACATCGTTATAAGAAAATGTTCGTGTCTGCAGACAACCGGCAGACGTCACTTCCCGCCACAAGTGCCTGTCAATGGCGATCGATCTTCTAGCTACCACTTTCACCAATCCGATTTACGAACTCCAGAGTTGGTCATCCATGTTTACCCAGAACGCACATCCGGGCCGCAGAGTCTTCCCATGACTCTGGGTAATAGTGAGTCAGGTGAAATATCTTGTCAATACCCCCCCCCCCCCCCTTTACTGTCACCCACCCCCGCTGGTTCTGGGGCGGGGCGTCAACGTTGGTTGTCGAATTACAGTTTCGATTACTTTCGATGGGGTTAATTCCCATTACGGGTTGCGATTACACGACTGATATTGTCGTATGGACTGAGGTAAAGATTACGGCATCATCAGTGTGTGCCGCGGTAATCGGCACACTGTCGGATATGGCTGGCCGTCCCAGGCGATCCTCAGCCGAAGATTAAATTCATAGAGTTCGCCGGTTGTAAACTCCGGCGCAAAGCTCTGTTTGATCGTCTCCTGATGGATTTTGGTCCTATTCTGTAACTTAAGTTTTGTGTGCACATCCGTTTCACAGATCTGGCTTCGTGCACATCCGTTTCACAGATTTGGCTTTGTACACGCACATCCGTTTTACAGATCTGGCTTCGCGCGCGCACATCTGTTTCACAGATCTGGCTTTGTGTACACACATCCGTTTCACAGATCTGGCTTTGCGCGCGCACATCCTTTTCACAGATCTGGCTTTGTGCACACACATCCGTTTCACAGATCTGGCTTTGTGCACGCACATGCGTTTCACAGATCTGGCTCTGTTCGCGCACATCCGTTTCACAGATCTGGCTTTCTGCACGCACTTCCTTTTCACAGATCTGGCTTTGTGCACGCACATCCGTTTCACAGATCTGGCTATGTGCACGCACATCCGTTTCACAGATCTGGCTTTCTGCACGCACATCCGTTTCACAGATCTGGCTTTGTGCACACACATCCTTTTCACAGATCTGGCTTTGTGAACGCACATCCGTTTCACAGATCTGGCTTTGTGCACGCACATCCGTTTCACAGATCTGGCTTTGTGAACGCACATCCGTTTCAGAGATCTGGGTTTGTGCACGCACATCCATTTTATAGATCTGGCTTTGTGCACGCACATCCGTTTTATAGATCTGGCTTTGTGCACACACATGTTTCACAGATCTGGCTTTGTGCACACACATCCGTTTCACATATCTGGCTTTGTGCACGCACATCCGTTTCACAGATCTGGGTTGCTGTAGCATTGAAAACCGGAAAAAAGCACCAAAGTTCAGAACCCAAGAATATGTTGATACATATATGAACCACAGAAATGAAGCCAACCGAGTAGTCAAAGAGGCTAAGGTGGCACACTGGAAATATTTTGTCAAAAACAAGTACGCTGATGCAATCAGACTTGAGATAACTGGCCCGTGGAGCAACGACGATTGCCAGAGTACTGATTATATCAAAGAGCGATTATCCAAACGAAGTTAAAGAATACATTTGGTCCAGAAGAAAACATTAAATCAAAGCAACCAGTTTAGTATCGTTATCTTGGTTGCATTGCCTAGGACAGCTGAATGATGGAAATAAATTTCCTTCTCTGGAGATTGTTCTAAAGTTCAGAAACCCCATCACGAAGAAAACCTATTGTCTGGTAGTCTGGTAGTCTGAGTTTCAGCTTCATAGCAAACGGGTCACCCCATCTTTGCCCCGCTCCCGTGCCAACGAAAAGCACACATAATGTTTATTACAGTCCCTCGTGGAAAGATTGACAGACTACTGTCTCAGTATATCTAGCATACACACACATTAAAAGCATACGGTGGCCATCCGAAGTGCAAACAGTCCGACATTAAAAATGCAGTTCATCACTGATGGTAGCAGAAGTCACCAACAAATCAGCAGTTGCCCACGCGATCAATTTTAATCACATACGGGCACCTTCAACATTGCGGCAACAGGAATCGCGCCTTTTTCTGAATCTACAATTCACACCACCACGTTGGTCATAGTCGAAATAACATTCCAAATGAAATCCGTAGCT